ATAATAGTAATAATAATAAGAGGCAAAGCGCAAATGAGAAAACAAGATAAATAAGAAAATAATGTCTGTTCCGGTTTTCGCTTTAGTTCGAGTCCGACAACTGACAATTCTAGCAAACTATAAATCGGAAAAGCGATAAGAACTAAATAGGGTTTCTTTTATATGACTAAGGCAAACAAAATGGGTGCGAATATAGTCGAAGAGACTTGTACGAGGTGGGATTGGAAGATGCCGATGCTGAATGCCGCATTAATTGTCACGCTTAGCATGTGGATTTTATTTGATTTGATTTGTTCTCCATGCGATTTTGCAATCAACTACAATTTTGATTGGTACTTTTTTTTTGTTTTTTTTTTTTTTTTTTTTGGTTGAGGACTACGAATATGCAGCTACGTATTGAAGGTTGGAGGTTGAAGAAGTAGGTTTCACTTGCGTGGCTGATAAAAAATGCTTTACCATTGTATCCTCTATTCATGCCGGAGCTGGCGCCGCCACGACTTCTATCACTGTGACCACCATAATTATCATTGTACGAACCTCTACTATCGCCGCGATTACCAGAGCCGCCACCGGCCTCGCGACCACCGCCGGTGCCAGGGCCGCCTCGGCTATACGATTGACTGGTGCCGCCCTGACGCGGTGGTCCGCGCTTCTGGAACCCATCCCGACCATCGCGATTCATGCCGCCGCCATTGCCGCCACCGCCGCCAATTCCGCCACCAGGGCTATATAACAAGATATTCAAAAGTTAGTTTACGCATATATTGCATATAAATATAGATATCTATATATCTATATTGTTATGGACACGTGACTCACCGGTCATTTCTCTTCCGATCCGCAATGTCTATCCTTAGCGGGGCCGATAGGTCATCCAATTTGATTCGTCCATCGCATTCCAGAGCTCGTTCCAAGTTGTCAAGCGTTTCAAACTCCACGTAGCAGAAGCCTTTAAACTGATCCGTTTCTCGATCCTTAACCAGTCGCACGTTTTTCACCTCAAAGTCATTGAATATTTTCATAACATCGCCTTGGACGAGACCTTGTGGCAAATTGCCCACGTACGCAATAAATGGCGGTTCCGTTGGCAATTGCTTCACATGACGCTCTCCTCCAAAGCCACCTCTAAAAGCACAAGAGCACAAATATAACAGTTAGAAATAAGAAGCAAACAAAAAAGCAGCCAGAGACACCACAACAATATGTACCGGTCTTGACTGCGTCGCGACGTCAACGCACGTGTGCCCGAGCCAGAGCCGGAGCCGGGCCGAAACCGAACGCATTGCAGTAAAACAAAAACAGTTGCCGCTCGAATTACAAGCAAACATCAACAATAACAAAGCGGCCCAAGCGCTGTGGCCAGGTAAATAAAAAGGAAACAATATTGCAATAAAAACAAACACATCGCAAAAAAAAAAAAAAAAAAAAAAAAAAACGCGCGCGCTTTCAATTACTTTGCGGCAAAAAACTATAGAAATTCGCCTATAAATCTGGCCGTCTATTTAAAGTTTGCCGTAACTATCGAAGGCGGCGCTGACGCTGGCGCTGTCGCTGTTGTTGGCGCTGACGTTGGCCCAGCTTCTAGTTTGGTAGTTAAACGCCAAAGGCAAATCGCGTACCGCCGGCGTCGACGTCGACAGCGACGTCGGCCAACGGGCGACAGCGCAGCAAATTGCCCGAAAAAAAAAAATAGCAAAGAAAAAGAAATGTAGAAGAAAAAAAAAACACGCACACTTGCGCACAAACATACACACCCGCCGCACGTATGTACATATGCATATACATTTTTAGGGTTTGTGTGTGCGTGAGTGTGTTTGTGTTTTGTGTGTGTGCGTGTTGCTTGACTTTTGCTTAAACCGCGTGCATTATTATACATTGTAGCACATTTGCACTCGCTGGGGCACACACTACGAACGCACTTGCACCAATTAAACACAATTTCGGCGTGCGGACTAGCACAGTTCTTTAATTATTTAATAATATTTACCTAGCGTGTTCATAACCACCTCTTCCAGCCATGTTTTATTTTTTTCAAATGAGCGAATTCGCTGCAATCCGCAGACTGACTACCAAGATTGTCGCCGTGTGCACGCGCTCCAGTGTGTACACACCTGATGGTGGAGGCGCTATGGAAAACACCTACTAGTTGAAACTATTATCATCTTCATAGAGCTCCTTCAATATATTATACAAAAATAGGTGCACTTTTTTTAAGGCTCCACAATGAAGGCCAATTCTTGCGGCTTCAAATAACAGCCGGGTGTATTTATAAGCAACACTTGCCAATTCGCCGAATGTACCATCTGCATTTTTCAACACTTAATACTACCGAAAAACAACATCATTAAATTGTCTTAACATTGCCCAAATTCATTATAATATTAATTATATAAAAAAGTTTAATATTTCAAGTGGTTCTACTAATACAAGTAAGATATTTATCCTGGATTGTCAGATTGACAGATGAAAGCTGCAATTTCTATCGATATATCGATGCAAATTCGCCGCTAAAAACTCGCCCTATTCGCCATTATCCAGCACTGTTGCCGCTCGCACGCTTCTTCTTACGCCTTGTTTCGGCCGAATTGTACACGTTTTTGCTGCAATTCTGTTGGCATTTTCTCTTCGGTTTGCGCATATAATCAATCTGAATAAAATTCGCACTCAAACGCAGTCAAAATGGCATTAACGTCACGTTTCTACAACGAAAAATATCCGGAGATTGAAGATGTCGTCATGGTGAACGTGCTCTCAATCGCCGAAATGGGCGCATACGTTCATTTGCTGGAGTACAACAACATTGAGGGCATGATCTTGCTGTCGGAGCTGTCTCGTCGTCGTATTCGTTCCATTAACAAATTGATACGTGTCGGCAAAACAGAGCCTGTCGTCGTCATTCGTGTGGATAAGGAGAAGGGCTACATTGATCTCTCCAAACGTCGCGTTTCACCGGAGGATGTGGAGAAATGTACTGAGAGATTTGCAAAAGCAAAGGCAATCAACTCACTGTTGCGTCATGTGGCTGACATTTTGGGCTATGATAGCAGCGACAAGCTCGAGGAACTGTATCAGAAGACCGCCTGGTATTTTGAAAAGAAATACAACAGCAAAACGGTCGCATATGACATCTTCAAGCAATCGGTTACCGATCCATCTGTCTTTGATGAATGCAATCTGGACGCAGAGACCAAGGAGGTGCTGCTGAGCAATATCAAACGCAAACTCGTCTCGCCCACAGTCAAAATACGCGCAGACATTGAGTGCTCTTGCTACGGCTACGAGGGCATCGATGCAGTCAAGGCATCGCTCAGCAAAGGCCTGGAGCTGAGCACAGAGGAGCTGCCCATCCGCATCAACCTCATAGCGCCGCCGCTGTAAGTCGTCTCTGATCCAAGCAATATTGCTGACACTAATTACTATCCCATATACGTTCCATAGCTATGTAATGACCACATCCACCACAAAGAAAACAGACGGACTCAAAGCCCTGGAGGTGGCCATCGAGAGCATACGCGCCAAGATCATTGAGTATGAGGGCGAGTTTAAGGTGATTATGGCGCCTAAACTGGTTACGGCCATTGATGAGGCCGATCTGGCGCGTCGCCTGGAGCGTGCCGAGGCTGAGAATGCCCAAGTCGCTGGCGATGATGACGAGGAGGATGCTGCCGATCAGGAGGGCATGCAGTTCGATCCCGAAAAGGAGTTCAATCACAAAAACTCGGCCGCGCGCACCAACGAGGGCGACGAAGATGACGATGAAGACGAAGAGTAAATGAAAAACATTTCTAGAAAGCAACCAATTCGACCTGAAGCAACAACACCCAGCATTGAAAGATGAAAAGATAGAAAAAAAATCAGAACAATTAATAAATTATAATGTACATTATACACATATATGTATAATATATTTATATCCTGCGTGCGTGCGTGCGTGAGTGTGTGTGTGTGTGTGTGTGTGTATGTATGTCTGTAAACATATACACCTTAAACAAAAACAAAACAATAGTACACAAACTACCGAAGCTGGTGGCATAATCATTGCAACACAATTGTGCGCCAATGACCAATTCCATTTAACAATGCATCGCTGGCGCGACAGAGACTGCTAACTAGAGCCTCTATATGTATGTCTGTACATGCCTATGGTTTATACATTTATAAATAAATAAAATTGAAAACAAATTGTCCAACAACCAAACAAAAAGAAAGAGCTGAATGAAAGCGCTACAGAGTTATGGCATAGGTATATGGATAAGGATAGCGGATAACGGATTCATTGTATCCCAAACAAATGATCTCATCTGGGGGATAAGAATAAAGATAACTCATCGATTAAATTAATTACTTCCTAATGGGGATAAGGATAACAGACTCATTGCATCCCAAGCAAATCTGGTAAAATAATGCTCTCATAAGAGGGATGAGGATAACTTCTTCGCTGTATCCTAACCACATTGTTAAAAGTAATGACCTCATCAATCAACTGTAGTATCCGCATGAAACATGAGTCATCTCGCTGTAGCCACAGTCTTCACTCGCACATTGAAACTTCATAGACGACTTCCCATGCGTATTTTTAAAAAAAAGTTACATTTAGCGTGCAATCACTGTGGCCCATATTCGATTTATATTTATTTATTTATTCCAATCCAAAAACAATTAATTTTTATTTAACCATTCCGTCTCTTTCGTACATTATTTGATTATAAACACTAGCTCAAATAATGAATATATACATATATTATTATATGTACCCATATATTTAAAAGGTGTGCATGTGTGTGTCTTAAGTGACTGTCTATATGTATATATAATATTATGTATATGTAATCTATTTGTAGGCATAGTTTGTATTACGTTTCAATAAGATGTTCGTTGCAAGCGCAATTCCCTTCTGATAAGAAATAAATCATCGCGGATCGACTCGACTACTACAATAATTAGCTAAAGAGACACAAAGAGCTTGTAATATGGATTTAAATTTGAGAAAAATTAGATCTAAATTCAAGTAGGGGAAAGATGTTAGGTTATATCGGATTGAGTGCGAAGTGATAGTTGTAGTGGTGGTAGTGGTGGTGGTGGTGGTGGTGGTGGTGGTGGCTGTTGGTGGTTCCCGTATTGCAGATTTTTCCTTTGATTGATCCCAGAGCAGTAAAATAGGAGCAGTTGCTGGCGCCATGCAGCCAACGTTCAGCTAAAACCACCGCCGCCAGCGGCTGCATTGCGGCTGAGCAGCATTGAGCTGGCAACGGCCTTGTTGCCGTTGCACAGACGCAGCACGGTGAGCACATCGCCGCGCGGATACCCCAATTGCATCAATTCGCTAACATCCTGTTCCGTAAAGCTATCCAATGGTTGTATTGAGTTAATATTGCTTATATCAAAAGTGGCGCCGCTGCCGCTGCCGCTGGCACTGGCACTGGCGCTGGTTGTGGCAGTTGAAGCAATGGCACTGGCGCCGCCCCCCTCGCGCTTGCTCTGCTCAATGGCCTTGGCGATGGCCTGTTGCTCGCTCTCCTCCCCGTGGCCAGTGAGGCGGGCGCAAGCGGGCAGCTCGCTTTCGGGCAAGAACGGGGTGCTTGTGCCCGTGGTGCCAATGATCAAAAGGTTGCGTTGCAAGTCGATAAGGCACTGTAATCAAAACGAGAGAGATAGACATATACACTATGTACAATCGAGAAGAGCGCAGCATGACGCACCTGATGGCGCTTGAGCATGTCCAGGCCCAATAGCATGTCCATGGGCTGTTGGCCCAACACCGTAAAACTGGACGTCAAATGATCATTCTCAATCTGCAGCTGCACCATGTGGATGCGACCCAGAATGGGCTGTGTGCCCACGCCCTTGGCAACGCCATTCCAGCGCGTATCGATCAGACGATTCACATGACAGCGCTCCGCGCAGTCCTTGCTCATGATTGTGGTCTGTGCGCCAGAGTCAACGAAGGCCTTCACCGGCACGCCGTTCACCTTGCAGTTGATGTACCTAGAATAAAACAAGGAACATAAATATGACAATATACTTATATAATACGTATATCCAAAATGGGACTCACAGCATTGTGACTGTGCCGAAAATTTCCGGATTGTATTCGATGGCGGCGGCCATATTATCTTGGATATTCTTCTGCTTGATCTCCTCGGCAATCAGGCGCTGTGTCTCCTCGTCGAACGGATCCGAGTTGAGCATCCGCATGCGTTGCTCGTTGCGACGCTTCCGCTCCACAATATGCTCGCGCAGCACTCTCGCAAATGTCTCTGGGTCACCAGAGTCCAGAGCCTCGGCCAGCCGCGTATTATATTGACGGAGCAAGGCCAGCGTCTCTGGACTGGATAGAAACATTTGACGCACTGTCGCCGGATCGTCATCAAAGTTAACATTGAAATCATCTGTCATGGGCACGTCGSCGAGATGTTGCTGCTGCTGCCGCTCCAAATGCTGTTGCAATTGCTGCTGCATAGTGAGCGTGCTCCCTGCTGCCCCAGCGCTATGTGAGGGTGGACTGCCACCTATTGCACTCGTCCCGGGCACAGCAATGCTGCTGAAATCCAAATGGCTAATCGACGGATTGTTGGAAACTGTAAAAAAAGAAGATCCATATATCAGAATTGTCATATATATAAATCTACAAATGATGAGTTTTTTTTTATTATAGCTTAACAGCTGCTCTGACCGATTCAATCCTTCATACCATACAATTTTCACATATTATAAATAACTTTCAATTTATTTTACAATTCTTTTCTTGATTTAAAAACATAAATAGATTTCTCCAATCAAATCAAATTGCAAGTGTTTTAATAAACAAAAAGTTTTTACGACCTATTTTATATAAAAAAGACGATATATGTATGTATGTAAACATGCGTAGATACATACATATATGTACATATATGATAATGCAAAAACGCCCACATTCCAGGTGCAAGCAACAAAAAAAAAAAAGCTAAGGAAAAAATTAAGGCGCAACAGACAATTCAAAAAAGATTGCAAATTGCGCGCGCCCACGCGCATACAAAGAACAAAAAGAAAAAAAAAAAAAAAAACTGAAGCATTCGGACAATGTACACATAAACATGCATGCATACACACTTAT